TGGCTCCGAACTTGTCCTAATCGTGAAGTCCTTCGACTGGCCCGGTGTGTTTGCCTCTTTGCTTATCGTTGTCACTACACCAAATTTATCCATGGTTCCAGTCTCTCTTCCGACGTGTGCCTCACTCTCCTGGATCGAACTATTGAGACTGACTTGAGATCCAAAGTCCCCTTGCTCCTCTTCATCCTCTTCCTCCTGGGACTCCCCATCGTTTCCTGCTCCTCCTCCCATGCTGAATGGAAAGATGTTTCCGAAGGTGTTCTTCATTCTTTCTGAGAACGATGATGAGGTTGTTTGTCTTCCAGTTCCGCTTGCCATCATAGTGTTGTCTGTCGGAGATCTTCTAGTTACCGTTACTTCAGTTGAGATGTCGGACAGTTCCGACATCTCCTCTCGATCCAATGTCCCGGTGGAAGTGGCAAAATCATGGCCTTGTTCTACCGGGGTAGATTCACTCGCCAGCCTTCTGCCTCTCCCTTCCAGTTCATTTACTTCCTGGTTGTCATTCATGGTATGGTCCGTATTGACCTCCACTTCTAACGGTTCTCTTCGCTCTTCTGAGGTCTTTTGACTTCTCGTTTCAACCATTCTGCCTGAAACCGTCCCCCTTTTGTCAGACCGGGATCGCTTGATCCAATCCACAAAAGGATCGGTCATCGTTTTTCTTTGCTTTTCAGGTATGAATTTCCTAGAGCTATTACCTCGTTTTGGTATCCTTGACTTGTCTAAACTCATTCTCTATTTGTCACTTTCCTATGCCTACTCTTGACTCAATTGCTAGAGACCTTATAGTTTTATTAACAACAATAATGACACAACACAATAAATTTCACCAGATTCTATTAAATAGTGACCACGAATCCCTGTATGTTGTCAGAGTACAGTTTGTATAAAATTTATTCACACTAACCGATTACCGGTCCAAAGATCTGGAAACTAGCACAATATGATGTTATCAGTCAATTTAAAAGATAGTGTATTCACTACCCAATCAAGCACAGTTTACGTTGATTTAAAATCAAAAACAAGAAATATATATTGACACAATATGAATGTATATATAAAAAAAACGTATGTGTCTTGTACTCTTAGTCGGTCGCAGTACAATAGTCGAACCTGTCTTTTAAAGAAAAAGCTTTCCCTGCTTGGTGCTGCACCAAACAGACAAAACTTTGAAGGCAGTAATTTTCTCAAGTGGGCGTCTATTGCACCCACCGAGTACTGTGTTACCTATCTGCCTTCGGACTGCCCGAGCTAGACCTACTAAAATCCTCAGGGCAGTCACTTTTCCCAAAAACGTATTATGTTTCAATCCACACCAATGAGTCACGCTCTTTTTAATTTAGACTTAGTGTCGCGAATATCCGAGTTCGGACCTGTTTTGTATTAGTCTGGTTCTTTTTGAGAGGCAAGTTACCAGTGCAGTCACTGATACCTAGCCTGTGTATTAATAACCTAATACCTCTCGCTTTTTAGTCTTTCTTCCGTTTACCTAAGTCCTTAATAAAATTATACCCCTCCGGATTGGCACAAATAGGACCCTTCCGGACTGTCAGAGTATAGACCCCTCCGGATTGGGACTCCTCCGAGTTAGTTAATAGTAGACCTCCGGATTTGGACCCCTCCGGTTTTGTGGAAAGTAGACCCCTCCGGATTCGGACCCCTCTGACTTTGAAAAATTTCGACCCCTCCGGATTGGGAGCCCTTAGCTCTGTCAAAGTAGTTTTTCGTAGTTTTCTTAATCTCAGCTTATACCCCTCCGGATACGTTCTGGGTTGCTTTTATGCTGTTTGAATTAACTGGGAAGGGTATAGGGTCCTTTCCTAGACCCCTCCGGATTGAAGTTAAGGCACTTATTTGACAATTCACACTAACGGTGAAGGGTCTTATCACTTGCCTAATTTCGACTCTATTATGGTTGTCTTGTGCCTTCAGCCCTCCCTTTTTGTCTAGAACTGTCCTAAGTCACTTAGTTCAATCGCTATCAACTTTTGGTAGGGGTATAAGGGTTTTTCAGAAAAATTTATAAAACGTGAAGGGTGTACCCCTCCGGATTTGTGTAATTTGCTAAAAACAATCTCAAAAATTTTCTCGCTTACTTTTCCAAAAAAAATTTTGACCCTATCAGTAAGCTCAGCTAATTTCTGATCTATTGGTACCAAGATCAACTCAATATGCTCAGTAGTTCCAAAGTTATTAACTAAAACGTCTTTCTTCCAAACTCAAAAATTTTCTCTCTTATAGGTTCCGCCTAACTTTTTCCGCAAATCTGGTCCTTTCGACCTAAAAATTATTGATCTGAGCTCAGAAGGCCTATACTCTTCTAGTTCAATGCAAAAGACCCGATCTAAAACGCTTTTGTAGAAAAAGTTTGCGAAAAACTATGCTACCTGGACCCCTCCGGATTGATGAATCCACCAAATCAAACACGTTATGTTCGATTTCTCTGCGACCCGGAAGGCTTTCGGTTAGCGGGTTTTAAAACTCGTAGATTCACCAGTGGACGTTGTCCGATCAACTATTTTTACTGTCCTAACTCAAAGATTTCAAAAAATTTTCTGATTTTATAGTGTTTCTTACTATCAAAAAATGGGAAAATTTGGTTTTTTTGTACCAAACTAGTTCCAACCACTTCCGAACTAAAGTTAACCGGTTCTATTTATTACAGTAGTGCAGTTACGATGTAACACACTAACTTAGCGCTTTTTTCCGTTTCAAAAAATATCGATATCTCAAAAATCGCGACTTATGGGGGGATCAAAATATCGCTATTTTGACCCTAAAAACCGGTCTGTTTTCGTTGTTTTTCACTGAAAAACGATATAAGACTATTAATATAGGCTATATAAATAATAATATTAGTAATACTATACCCCTCCGGGTTCGTTTATTATCCGAATTAAGGTGCTTAACTCGGATATTCGCAGTTCGGTGAAGGGTCACTACAGTGCAGCACTGTCGAGCCCCCCACAGATTACTATCTTACTTTTTGTACCAAAAGGGATACAAAACTTGTTAACGATACCCAACAGTCGATTGTTGTTGTCGTTGAGCCCCTTCGTGTTGCTCCTTGAACTGCTTGCCGGATCGGTCTTCACCCAAGACCCTTCCGAATTGAGCGCAAATCAGCTGACCCTTCTGGATTGAGCGCAATTTATCATTAACGTGCTTAAATGCTCAAATAACCCTACAGTTCAAGCCTCACAAACGGGCCACAAAATTGATCGTAACGATCCTGACTGATATAAATGCCTGTAACAACAATATATCTATCAACAACAAACGGGGGGGTTGAATCACATCTTGTCTGGGGGGATGATTTCTACTGATTTTTTACTTATTTACTGTTTTTGGTTTTTTCGGTTATTTTTTTATGGTTTTTGTTTTTCTTGGGTACTATACTACTTTTTGTTTGGTTTTACTTATATCTTTAAGTGTTTTTGGTCACCAACCACTCAGGGGACGAGGGGACGGCCGATCCCCCCACCCTTCCTGGTTCGTGAATTTTCGGTCTTAACTAGGTTAAAAAACTATTCACGGCAATCCGGAAGGCCTCCGCGTTCCGAACTACCCTTCCGCCCCGGCGGTTTAGGCCTATTAAGGGCGTTAATGTGAGCATCCGCTCGGCGCGGAGTGCTCGTTAACGGTTCTGCCGGTCATGATGTTAAAAAAGAATAACACCCAGGAGCGCCATAAAAACATACATGTAACATTCGCCCGGAAGATACATATCGACGGATAACAAAACTAAGTCTTAAGACGACTGGCTAGCGTCTAAACAGAGCTTTGCATGTTTTTCACCGTCTCTACCAAGCCAGTACTTTTCGGTGGTCTTTCTTACATCAGGTCGACAAAAACGTTACTGTTCTCCGGCTTCGACCAGAACGCTCAAATTAACTGAATTACATGCAAAATTAGTGAGCCGATGGCTGGGTCTCAGTATCCCCAGACCACGAGGTCACTCCTAAAAACAGGGCTACTACTTATTATATTACTATTGTTTTTGTTCAGTAGATAAAAACCATCGAAGATGGATCAACCCTTTCCCCCAACTCCTAGCACCTCATCCTTGTCAAAACTAATCAAAATATCAGTTAAATTCAAGTCAGGACATGACAGGATGCTAAAAGTTTATGTGAGTTAATAAAAGTTTCCGTCCCGAGACCCTTCCGGATTCTCGAATCCGCCGAATCAAGCTCCTTACTCTTGATTTCTTGCTAATCCGGAAGGCTGGTTCTCACCCTTCACCGTTGTTGGCAACGGCCTTGCAACTATTGTAGCAGCACAATAGTTGCAACTCGGAACGTTCTCTGCTATTCTGTAGTTCGTTGTCGTTCTCCAATCTCAATTTTCGTACTGTTCGCAATCGCAGATAAAAGTTGTTCTGTTTTTCACTCGCTTTTTGTTAAAATGGCCGTTTCAGCATTTCTCAGAAATGTGACGTCATCATTCGAATTTTTGAAAATTTAAAATACTAGAATATTCTAGCCCTCACCGTTTGGCTAAACGTTCCAATAACGTCGCTAATCCTTCGAAATCATCAACTCGGAAGGCTTACTGCTCAAAATTCGAATCCTGCATAAATTGCATTTTGGCCATTCTGGTCGAATGTCACACACGTCGTGCCACAAAACCACTTTTTTCTCCTTCAAAAGCACTCGGTCAATTGCCAATAGCAATTAATCGGAGCGTTCTTTTCCTACACTGATGGTTACTCTGAATTCGGCTGCTTTGATTTGTTTCAAGAATTTTTAGTTGTTTCGGTAAAAACGAGCATGTCGGACGCAATTGAAGACGTAAAATTGCCAAACCGAATCTTAAACTTCTGTCTTTAGTGTGGTTTGGGCTCAATATGGAACAATGTAAATAACCAATGCTTCAAAAACGCTTTTTCATGAAATAAAATAAAACTAAAAGGGAGGAGTTGATGTACAGAAAGTTCAATTCAAATATCTGGCAAATATTAAATATATATTTTTTGAAAATCACATGCTTATTTCAGGTTTTTCATGAGTTTTTTGAGTAGTTTGATACTGCTGGTAAGTTGAGCTCTTACCTTATCATTAGTTAGGCTCTTCCAGCTTACGCTTTCATGTCTCTTCCAAAAGCCTAGTAACAACCCAAAAAAACTAATTGTAATGTGAAAATCTTAAAGCACGTGAGAAACCCATAATTAATGATGAGGAATATCGAACTGTCATGATTGCGATATCCCTGTGATGATGCAAATGCTTCACATTTAATCAGAATATCTTTCAAAGTAATCTAAGAATAAGGATTACGAAATTAAAGATTTTTGTTAAACTTTAGACAAGTCAGTAATTTTTTATATACAAGTCTGTCGCGATTTTCGCGACCACCCAGCAAGATTTCTAGCCTTAATTTTGATGTCTCTGATTTTAGCTGTCCTTGTTTTTTTGTTCAATTGAATGTGGACCAGCAATTGAATTGACAAACTCTGACTTCGAGGCAACAATCAGTATGTATGGCTACCTGTTCCTTCATATTTCGTCTTTCTATGTACCAATACCAAGTCAGAAAAGTATGTTAATTTTGTTCAGAACAATATGATCTCGTGCTTGTCGATTTCCATGCTAGATGGTGCAAATTTAGCCGGATGCTTGATCCAGTTTTTGATGAAGCTTCACAAGCGCTGGACAATCTCTACAAAGTATTTACTATTTCAAAAACTGAATCAGTCGTTTTATTATATGTGAAACTACCCCAATTTTTCAGGACTCAAATACAGTGAAGCTTGCCAAAGTAGACTGCGAAAAAGAGAGTGCGTATTTTTATTGTATTTTTTTTTCGTCCGTTTCACGTATTAATTTTTGAAATTGCTTAGACGAAGTTGCCAGAAAGTACGGAATCAATAAGTATCCAACAATAAAAATGTTTGAAAACGGCAAAGTTTCCAAGAAAGAATACCGTGGCTCAAGGACAAAAGACGCGTTTGTCAGTTATATCACCAAATATCTCGAGTCTCCTATCAAAGATATACCTAATCTTGACGATATCCCGGACCTTTTAGAAGTAAGTGCTTTTTCAATAATATTTTCTGGACTATCTTAAGTTCAACTGCAGGGACCATTGATGTTTTTTTTTCAGAAGCAAAAGCACAATGTCATCGGGTATTTCGACAACAAGGAGTCAGCAGATTATAAGCAATTCGACCGAGTTGCGCGGATGCTGCGACATGATTGCGGGTGGTTTGCTGCATTTGGGTAAGTCTGCAACAAAGTTCTAATTCAATTCACTCAGCGCATATTAGTCATTACACAGTATTTGATGTTAAAGAGAGGTAGCAAAGAGTCAAAAGCAAGGCGGGACCTTCCAGATAGTGTACAAGCCTCCTAATGTAAGTAGAATTGTTCTGATTCCGTAGATAGCACTAACTTGTCTATCTTTTTTCTGATTTTTTTTCGCTGTGTAAGTTTTTCTGAGAAAAAAATCTCTTTCCTCTCGCTCATCGTTTATTATGATTTGACTCTCTGATAATGAGGTTTTAAAATTCTCTTTTCTTTTTAGTTTTTCATGAATTTGTTGTTTATTAGCAATTCCAGCCACGTAAAAATTACAACCCGAAGTTTGATGAAGTTTATACACGACTTAGACAATTGGATGCCCGAGGACTGAGGTTCTTTTCAAGTAGAGAGCATTTATGCTTCAAAAATCATTTTAAATTGTTTTCTTGCCTTTTTTCAATTTTTTTTTCCAGCGAGCTCGCGAAGCGTAAAGAATTAGTACGAACGTTCTTTTGTAAATCTAACTCGCAAATAAAAGTGTTCATTAAAATGTTCATTTATTTGGTGGCACTTTTCTATAATCACGATCTGTAGCATAGGAAAGTTCGTAGCATCTGTTCTCTGCTTTCTTTGTGGCAAATTTTTGTGATCTATTAAGCGTCGGTGGCTGAGAGTGGTTAGTGCTTGAGACTCATAATATCTACGTTGCAGATCGAATCCGAGACGTAGCCGAGTTTTTACTAATTTGAGGCTTGTTTCTACTATTTCTTATTTCATCTAAAGAGATGCTTTTTGTCGTATTCTCGCTAGTGGCCGGGAAGCGAAGCACCGCCTACGTTTTTAACTTTTTTTACACTTGCGAGGCAAGTCTATTTGTACAAACCTTCTTTTTTTCCAACCTAAGTCGCAAATATTGGTGCGGCACCTTTACAATTTTTTGATAGCATGTGCTTTGATTTTCGAAAAGTAATAAGCTACCACAGTTAAATCATTTTTAGTTCATCAAATGAACCGAAAAAAGTGATTTGTTTCAAACAACATAACAATAATGAAAACTCGATTTCAGAGTTTTTTTAAACTCAATATATCTAGCAATTTTTTGAAATGCATAATTGTTTCATAATGTGGCTTTGCATAATTTATACATAATGTGGCTTGATGTTTTGCTATTTGGCATTTGCAACGTTAGTTTGGATGCTATCAGTTTGTTATATTCCAAATTGTTGCATGCAAAAATTGAGCCTATTTGTATTTGGTTCCAATTTTGCTGAATCGCATTGGCAAGTTATTGACATATGTAGCTGCTTTATTCGTGACAAGTGTTTGTCGGTTGTTGAGATTGCGTAGCTGAGTGGATAGTGCGTGAGACTCAAAATCATTTGATTGAAGGTCGCAGGTTTGAATCATACTCGTAGCAGAGTTTTTGCTAATTCGAGGCTGATTTCTACTTTTTCTTATTTTTTTTTTGATAGAGCTGCTTTTTGGTCGTGTTCTCTCAAGTGTTTGCGACGAGCAGCTTCGCCTTTGTGTTAAAATTCTAAGAACAAGTGTCTGGTGATCGGTAACTATGCGAGAGCAAGTGTCTTTCTTGTAATCGGAGCTAGAATTTTTTCCCATGAACAATTTTTCGTACAAATCTTTATGAAATTGAACTTACTTATTTTCGAACATAAGTAACTTTCAGCCTCCTTTCCACTTGGTCCAGAAGTAATGCTGATGCCTTTGTTTTTTTTCAGTCTCTATGAATTTGAATTTTTCTCAGGAAAAATTGCTTGTCAGCCTTTTGGTTGTCTTATTATGTTTTGTGAGAGTTGCCAGAGCGCGGATTTTTCTTGTTTTGTGTTCAATTTTGCATATAGGTGCAAGTGTTGGTGGTTTTTATTGTAACTAGCCTTGCAATAAGCAAGGGTTTTTCAAGGGATGGCGGTGTGTCTCGACTGTTTTATTTTTGATTTGAAATTTTTCATATATTCCAAAAAAAAAACATCCATTTTTCAATTATTTAGTTGTTTGCTGTTTTTTTTTGCCATGAGCTTCTGTGAGTTAACCATTGTTTACACAAGCAAAGCTTGTGTAATAGTAAAAATTCTCATTTTTTCCAACCTAAGTCGCAAATATTGTTTCGACCCCAATATTGTTGCGACAAAATGTGTTCATAATGAAAGTGTTCATTTTGATCAATAACCAGCTATTAAGTACAGGCAATGCTCAGGATATCAAAACAGACTATCATATTACAAATAGCACTTTAGCTTCAAGGTATCATGGATCTGTACCGTAGAGGTAGCGAAGGAGACCCGCAAATAAAATAAGAGTGTTCGAACGTGGGCCGGGTCGGATTTTTCAAAAGAATTTACTGGTTAAAATGCGTCCGCTATGAATTGAGGCATGTTAGTTAGTATTTTTTTTTTGCAAAATGACTGGTATTACTAATGCGTCATAATTAGCTTGCGTCACTGAGCATTTATGCTGACTCATAATTGGCGTGCGTCACTTGAGAAATTTTGTAGACTCAAAGGTTTTACTGATTCAGTTATTTCCTGTAGCGTTATCGGTCATATTTTTGCTGGTGTATGCGAAGTGAAACGTCGCCTCTGTGTTAAACTTCTGACAATTGCTATGCAATACAGACCGGTATGCTTAATACGGTTTGGAAATGATTCCGCACTTCTCTGGCTGAACGATTGTTTCGTTTATTTTTCCAACCATTTGGCTAGAACTACTGTGTTCGGGTGTGTTTGTGTGTTTTGATTTCCGAACGACATGAAAATTTTTCAAAATTTTTGCAAGGATACGCAGACATTTTATTCAAGCCCTGTAAACTGAGTTTTACTCCAGTAAAAGTAGTTTTCGAAGTTTAAAAATTGCTTGATTTATTTTTTTTACTTTAAAAATCATTTTTGAAGCAAACTGTTGCTGAATCTGCCTATTTTGCTGTGCATATTGGTTATGCCTAAGCTCTAGGCTTTTATAGATCCTATTATTAAGCCATATATAAAAAGACAGTTATTTGAAAAAAAAACCTTTGTAGTTTTCTAAGGAACTTTCTGGCCCGAACTTGATCGGAATTTTGTATGTTACTGGCAAAGTAATTGGCTATCCTTATTTTATTTTTGCAATTAATAAGTGTGTTGCAGCCTGATACAAGATTTTTTTCTTTTTTAAACGTTGATACGTTTTTTCGAAGCTGGTCTTAATGATGTTTTTGCTCGTTTTTTTTTCGGGAATGTTTAAAATTTGTTCATGCTCATTCTTGATTTTTAGCGGTTTGACTTTGGGCTCTTTTCAAATTTAGTTCACTATTTTGTAAAAGGAAGTTAAACTCCACCATCGATCAGCAAAATTTTAAAGTTAACGAAAAACGTGATCGAATTCTAGTTTCGAAAGTGGATTTTAATTTGCAGATTTCCAAGCGAAGTAAAAATTTTAGCTTTTGATCCAGTGGTTTTATCTGTTATTTATTTAAATGCGGGTTTGACTATCTCGCCATGTGTAAACTTTTTCAACGTATAATTTTGGCATGTTGAACGAAAGAATTTTTGCACGTTTAAGCTATATCGTATATTGCAATGGTTAAGGTTTTTTTTCGATTTTCCAGTTTTAATTCAAGTGTTATTCCACCGAGTTTAAAATAAGCAGCCCAATAGAGGGACGCTTTCAGGTTTTCTCAAGGGGTTGCAAGTTTGGCCTCCAATTGAGAATGCTCAAATCCTTTAAGTGGACGAGATAAGACGATTTTTGTGATTTTTTCAAAAAATTTCAGAAAACTTATTACAAAATAGTTTACAAAACTTGACGTTGCCAACCCTGTAGTTGGGTGCTATCAGAGAACTTTCAAGGATTGCGAATCTTGTTTCCAAATGTGACGGCTCAAATTCTTGTAGTTTTCAAGATATGACGTTTTTTTTGTGATTTTTTTCAAAAAAGTTTAAAACTTGGACGAAATTTTTCTACTTCAAAATTTCAAATTCTCAACCCTGTAGTTGGGGGCAATCAGAGTACTCTCAGGGGTTGCGAACCTTTTCTCCAATTATGACTGTTCAAATCCTTGTAGTTTTCGAGACATGATGTTTTTTTCTATTTTTTCAAAAAATTTTCAGGAAACTTAAACTTTCAGGAAACTGGGTGCGTTTAGGGTACTCTCATTGGTCCCGAATCTTGCCTCCGAAATATGACTACTCGAATATTTGTAGTTCTCGAGATTTGACGTTTTCGGGATTTGACGGAAAATTGGAATTAAAAAAAGTTTATAAAATTTGAAATTACCAACCCTGTAATTGGGTGCTGTCAGAGCACACTAAAAGCCTGGAGATCTGGTTTCCAATATATGTGGTTTGTTATGAGTTGTCAAAATATCGAAGCACCGGAGGTGCGTTACACGCTAGTTCGGTTTTATTTTAGTGAAAACGTTTCAATCATATATTGTTGTTGAAATTCATTGGTTTTATTGTTGTTGAGACAGTGGTTTCATTTTCGCAGAAAAAGCTTCAATCATAAATTGTTGTTGAAATTCAACGAGCTTCGAATCTATATATTTTTTCTTTGAAATTCGAAATTGTTTTTTTTTCAAAAAGAAGTCGATTTTCCTTGCGTTCATTGAGTCTTTTCCAAGTTTCTGTTGGCTATGTTTTATCATATACGTGGCTTATCATATACTGGTGCTGCTGATAAGAAATTGTTTCAGTACAATTTTGTAAGTTTATTTTTAATACAAGGATGTAATTTACCACTTAAGTAATTTACAAAACTAAAGGTAATTAACAAAATCAATATCATGAATTCACAACGCTCTATTTGCTGGAATATATGTGCTATAAAACTGAAAGAACAGGCTAAAAAATAAACGGAGGGGCAAAAGAAAAATCCTGATAATTGTTAAGGGGTAAACGAAGTCAGTCTCTATCTAATCCAAAATTTACCATATTGCATATTTAGGGAAATATCCGGAATTTTCCAACATTTTGAGCGCAAACAATATTTTTCGAATTCGAATCAATTTTTCTATTTTTCCGAATAAATTTTAGTTAATGTGGGCTCGATATCTTAATTCATTTTTTGTTCGAACAACGATTTTCTTTGTATTGCAGGTAGAACACGGGGAAAAATTGTTCAGTAGCAGCTTGAAGACACACGATTTGTTCTTGGCTTGGGCCACGGACAAATGCGTTCCTCTAGTCAGAGTTATCACCTTCGAAAATGCCGAAGTAAGTTGAATGCACAATTTACAATTCTCAAATGTGCTATTATTAAAAATTGTTTATTGGTTTGTGTTGCCAAAGGCCATGTGTTGTGCTTCTATTGGTGGAAAAGTTAGTTGGTTATTCGATTCCATTATGTGATGCTTAAGCTCTAGATTCATGCTGCTTTGTTTTTATTAGTTCAGAAATTTTTTGGTTCCTGACTTGAATTCTTGTTTGCAGTTTTAAAGTGAATGGAAAAGAGTTTGAATTTCACGCTTTTAATGAAAGTCAAACTATGAAATACTGTCAAATATTGCGGAATCTGAAAAGACGAATTAAGGAAACTTTTTTTGTTGTTAAATAACAGCCATTTTATACATAACTGCCTTCTGTAATTTTTTTTCGTTTTTTACATAGTGTGTGATTGTGTTTATAGGAATTAACGGAGGAGGGTATTCCATTCCTGATTTTGTTCCACAAGCCTGATGACACTGAGTCCCCCAGAAAGTACACTGAGGTGGTACAAAAACAACTTTTCAAGCGCAAAGGTTAGAAAGTGACGAAGTATAATTAATGGAAATAATAAACTGTAATTGTTTAACCTGATCCCGATTCTCACTGTTCCAATCACCATTCAACTGTAAATGAAATATGGCGTAGGTTCTGTTTTTCCGTTTTGCAGAAAAAAAAATAGATAAAGGCAGACAGGAATTTGATTAGAGGCTAGCCCCAAATTTAAATTTTTTGTATTTTTGAGTCATTTGGGCTAAAATGTATTTGCTAGTTTCAAGGAATTTTAATACTCAAAAAGAAAAAAGTAAAAAGCGCATAAAAACGTGAAAGAGTACTAATTTCAGAAGTGAATTTTAGGTATTTCTCGGAAAGCTTTCAGGGCGGGGAGTCGAGTGTATTAGCATTTTTAAGCCCTATTATATTTAATTTGGATTCAAAAAAATCAAAACTTTCTCAGTGTCAAGAAAAATTGGTCAACGTTTTCCATGTTTCTGACTAAATGACACAATGAAAGACTGAGCCAACAATTGAATTATACAGCAGTTTTTGCAATTATTAGGAGTCGATGAACGTTGTGTAAACTCGATAGGTCTTGATGGTTTTTTTTTTTCGTTTTGTTATGAAATGATCTAATGACAAAAAAGCATTCATACTTTTAAATGCACATCTGAATGCCTTTTGGTATATATGTACTTTTTGAGTTCAATTTAGGTTCATTTGCTAGACGGTAGGTAAATTGCACTCTCCAATTATGGAAACTGAAATGCCGCGAAAAAAACGTGATCGATTTCTAGTTTCGAAAGTCGAATTTAATTTTTAGATTTCCCAGCGGAATAAAAACTTGTCCTAGTAATCCAGTTTTCTGAAATTGTGTTAATTTTACCCAAAAAGTGCCAGTTATAAAGTGCTCGTGAAATTCAAAGAGCTTTAAGGCCATAATTTTTTCGAATTTCGAAATTTGAATGTGTTCCAAAAAAACAAGTCAATTTTTTTTGTTTCTTTGCGTTCATTGACTGTTTTCCAACTTTCTGCTGGCTATGATGAATCAAGAGTCATGATTGCAGTGAATAGTTTTATATAGGTCCTGGTGATTTTTTTTCAGGAACAATTCGTCCTAAAATTTGTTCATGCTCATTTTTAATTTTTTGCGGTTTGATTTTTTTAAGTTCAGTTTATTTCTTTTGTTAAAAGGAACGCTAACTCCACTATCGAAAAGCAAAAGTATAAAGGTAACAAAAAACTTGGTTGACTTATAGTTTCGGAAGTGGAATTTAATTTATAGATTTCCCAGTGGAATAAAAAGTTTATTTATTGATCATTGTTCTCAACTTGGGTAAATTTTATCAAAAAAGTGTCGATCATTTGTTGTTTTTGAAATTCAAAAGAGCTTTAAGGCCCTATATTTTTTATTTGAAATTCAATTTTAAAAGTTTTTTTACAAAGCAAATCAGTGTTTTCTATTTCCTTGCTTTGATGGCTCTTTTCCAACTTGTCGCGATGATTTCATCACGTTTTTTTCTTCAGAAAAAGTCTTTTAAATTAGTTCAGGCTCAAATGTTTGACTTTTGATTTCTTTTTTAGATTAATTCATTTCTTTTCTTAAGAGGAAGGAAAACTCCACTGTCGAACATCAACATAGTAAAGGTCACGAAAAACATGATCGACTTCTAGTTTTGAAAATGGAATTTAATTTTCATATTTCTCAGCGAAATTATAAGGTAATCTATCAATTTAGTTTTTGCAAATTGTGTTAATTTAATCTAAAAGTGTCACTGATAATTAATTCTAGAATTTAAAGGGCTTTAAGGTCAACTAGTTTTTACTTTGAAATTCGAAAGATGAAAGTTTAAAAAGAACAAATCAGTATTTTTGTTTCTCTGCGTTCATTGTGTTTTTTCCAACTGTCTGTGTTTATGTTCATTGTTGTTTTCTGTTAGGTATTTAGTTTTGCCGTTTGCTCAAATTGTGTGTCAATGAGCGTTATGAAGACTTTAAATGTTTGAGGCGATTTTTTTTCAGGAAAAAGTGGAAAATTAAATCCCGCCAAATTTTATTTTTTGCAGCTCCCCGATTATTAAAGCGGAAATAGCCCGAAAAAAACGAACGTTTTTTAGGTTCGAAACTAGATTCCAATTTTAAAATTTTGCAGCGGAATAAAAAAAGTTACCTATTGTTCCAGCTTTCTCTATTCAGTTTTCCTTAGAGAAATTTAGAGAGCTTCAATGTCATATAGTTTTATCTTCGAGATTTTTTTTAAAATTAAAAATCAGTTTTATGAATTCAAGCAATTGAATTTTCTCCTTTGAGAAATGTTTTATTCGTAGCTACAAATGGTTAAAATTGTAAACAGTGTTGTTTTGTAGAATCTGTGACATTCCTGACGGCGGACGGGGTTCAGTTCGCTCACCCGCTGCACCACATGGGCAAACAGATAAAAGACTTGCCTGTTCTAGCTATAGACAGTTTCAAACATATGTATGTGTTCCCCGACAACGACAAGATGTTGTAAGTGGTCAAGAAATTTTTGTTTCTAAATGAAGCTGTATGTTGATCCCAAACCAAACTAGTTTTAGAATCATTATTTGAGTTATACCGGACATGGCTGTCTTATTGTTGGTCGGCCACTGACCGATTCCAGCTCAGAAAACTAACTACTGCTGTGCTGTTGCTGATATTTTGTTTTTATTTTTGTTTCAGTGACGCAGATGCTCTGAACACGTTCATCAGTGACCTTGAAACTGGTAAACTTCACAGGGAGTTCCACCACGGACCAGATGTAGTCGTCGCTAAAAAGGCCATAGAGGTCAGTCACTCAATCTTTTATTTCACTGCTGCTGTTCTGACGTTTGTTCCTCCATGTGCAGCTGTTTTAATTTGCAAAAATTTGGAACTGACAGGCTTAACTAAAACGAGCAATCTGTCAGTTTTGAGCAATTTTAGTATGCAAATTTCAATTTTTAGGTAAAAAATTAGTATTTGTCTACAAAAATTGTCAGAAATGGTTTTTTTTGCTCTGTTTATAGAATTCTGTTCCAACTTTTTGTAACTATCTGTAATGTCAAATTGTTGACAATATCCTTTTCAGCGAGCCTGAACGAAATCAATTATCCTATAACTGTTCTTTTCGTCGTAGGAAATCAGTGTTTTACTAATATCAGCTCGTTAAAAACGCCTTCAAAAATTTGGTTAACTAGAAAGTACCGTTTTTTTCACCAATTAAGTTGCAGGTACTCAAGGTCGCCGATATTGTCAACAAATTGGTATTAACTATGTTTTTGAATGATTTTTTTAGTTGTGAAGTTAAACATTGTTTTCTTTGAACTGCTCGTTAATAGTAGCTACCAAATAAAGTTTCAGTCCTGGAAAAATTCGAAATGTAATAATTGAACATGCTAGAATTTCTCCAGTTCCAAAGTTTCGCTCTCCTGATTGTTTGAGCCAGCGGGGAGTATTGAATTAGTCTGAATGCCTGGAAGCAAAATGGTTTGTTTACTGTTCAGTATGAAGGCTTAATCTATCTCTAGCAAAAGTTTGTTGCTTGTTTGTTAAAACTTAAAAAGGGTATATGTGATGTGTCCATGTGTTATGTTTGTACCCAAGTGGCTTTGTTTGCAGTCGAAACCACAGGAAACAAAAGGCTCCATTCCTGTCAAGAAACTAAATGTCGAAATTCCGACGGCTACTCGAAAAGCCGAGGAAGAAGTAAAGGTTTGTGATGGCGTAGCTGAAACTGTTGTAACGTGTGCTGTTTTTACCCCTTTCATGGCTTCATGTAGTTGCTTTCTAATTAGTTTGTAAAGGTTCTTCCTTCTGATATTCAGCGGGTTTGCGAGAACTCAGATAACCATAAATACTTCTGTAGTACAGGAGCGGATGTATTTAATAGTTTTAAAAACTAAAAAACAACAGCGTTGAGTTTAATAAAAAAAGATGAGCTTGCGTTTCAGGGCAAATCAACAGATGGACGAAATGCTAGACAGGACCAGGTATCATATATTTATCGAATGCTACAAATATTTTTTCTTCTAGTTATGCAATATCTGTATGCCTGACCCTATATCAGTTAGAGCTATAAAGATTTCCGTTTTTTGTTCCATTTGTCGGCCAATTGGTTGAGAAACTGTTCTTTCCAGAAGGCACCACCAAGCACCCCGCCAGAAAGTCAGTTTGCTAAACTGGCTCCATCCGACCTTAGATACTCGTTCAGAGACGAGCTGTAACCGCAACCGAACCATGCTGCAGTATTCGAAAGCCAGTGGTGCCCCCCGCAGTCGAATCGAGTCTCATTGGGCCAATTATTGTACAAATTGAATCATATCTCGGTCCGACAACCACGGCTCTAAAGTGCTACAATACCAAATTACTAAAAATGTGGAATTCATTGTTGCAGAGTGTATTTTGATAGCAAATAAATAAATGCAATTTAGTTTTGACGAATTTCCATGGAAAATATGCGAAGCTAGCTTTCAAAACTAAATGCTTTTTATTTGTTTGACGGCAAAATTAATTAAGGATCTCTCAAGAGTATCCACATAATAAATCAAAACTGGTTGATCAGTTTTGTTTTCAGAAAGCTAAATTGCGGCCTTATGTGCTTCGATCCAAAATTCCATTTTCGATGTACAATATATTTTCATTTGTTTATAACTTGACTTTGGTTTGTACTTGAATGTAGTGAATCGAAGCTCGTAGCTGGTATACAAACTTAATTTTGACAAAAAAAAATCAAGTGAAGAAGTTTGTGAGTGATTCCCGAAAGGTTTTTTTTTTGCTACGAGGTTGAATTAATGAAACATGGTTTTTATTGGGGCTATCTCTGCTTTGTAGAATACTTCATCATTATCAAATCCCAGATGCCGAAGTTCAACCAATTAGGTCAAGTCAAGTCAAATTAAATCTGTATATTTCAATTTCATAATTTGAGTTAGAACCGAAGTGTAACTCATAGAGTAATTTCGGATAGGGTACACCGTCTGCTCGTCACGCTATCTTATTTTCGGCCGGATAGATTCGTGCAACTTCTTAGTCTAATACCGATCCTAATCTTACTCTTATACTATCTAGTCTCAGGTTGTTTAACTAGTCTCTGCTAGGCTCAATAGATCTAGGGTATACTGGTTTATTGCGGCTGCTGAAGTGCTCAGGAGAGTCCAACTAATTTCTAAGTTAAATTCAAATCTCTCTGGTGCTGAAATTACAAGTAACTTCAGCACTTACAAATAAGTGGGTTGTTAGTTAGATGGATCATGATTGGTTAATATTAAATACTTTACATTGGTAAAACATTTAATTTATCCAATCATAAAATATAGTTTAGATCAGGTTCCACCCATCCGGGTTTTACAGTGTTTTTTAGAACAGTTCTTCTGTAGTTCAAGGATGGATGATGGACGTTGGTATTTGGCGAACATCACAATTTTCTTTCGCTTCTCCTTGTGACAACGACTGAGTCTTTGCAACAAAACCAATTCTGATTTCAGAATGGTTGGCTATGTCAGGTTTTTCTGTTCTTCAGGGAGAACTTCCTTTGTATCTGATCTAGCTTGGGAATGGCGTGGAGATTGTGCGTGGAGGGGATGCCTGATTACTCGGATCTGTACGTATACTTGAACATCGAGGTGGTCATTGGTCTAGTTCAATGAAGTCCTTTTCTGCGAAGTCAAGTCGTACTCTAAATCCTTTGAGTTGTGATTGTGAGTGGCATATCGATTGTAGTTGGTCATTCTCTCTCGAGTGTAGTGAGGTCGTCTTGTCTTTTGATGTTCGTCCTTGGTGTTGTATTCTGATCTATATATTGCATCATGTGATTTTACATTTTATAAAACTTTTATTAGTTTAATATTTTTTAATCATGATTTTAGTTAGTTGTTTTCACAAAAGCTTTTTGTTTTAGTTCGGTTATTTTGAAGAGTTACTCACCCTTGAGTAGCTCTTATTAAAAATAAAGGTGTGGTCACAAAGCGTGGATGTAGCGCGGTGGGTTAGGCCGGCTATAGAGCATGCTCAGGACGTCCTTTCCTGGTGGGTTAGGCCAGGTGTGGGAGTATGATTTCATGCGGTTTTTGTGAGGGGTCCTGTTATGTGACAACGTTTTATGTTGGGTTTGTTGTGGTTTTACTTATGTTTCTTTGGTTGTGTCCTTTTTTCAAAAATCAAATTGTTTGTGGTATGGGTTTGTCTTTCGACTTTTTTGTGTTTTATTATTTCTTTCTAAGACTTTATAATAGTCTTCAAAAGAATTAATTATCCAGTTTTAAACTGGGTTAATCCGGTTTGGGTACCGTTGGTTTCCTTTTCTTAGTCATGCTGTTATTCTATGATTTGTGGTATTTAGTAAGCTGCGTTGGTTAGTTTTGTTTAGTATATGATTTCTCTCCAACCGGGTTAAAGGAAAGTTTGAAACTTGTTATCGTGTGTTAGAGTTATTGAGTGTGAAAACTTGAAACTGAAATTCATTATTTTAAACAATTCTTCGTGGGCGAGCTGTGCGAGTATGGATAGAATTTCTGTGCGAGTGAATGAAAATATCAAAAGGTTAGTACTGCAATTGCATTTTATTAATTTACTGCATAGAATTTGGAAATTTACTGCTAGTAATGGGGGAATTTTAAGATACAAATTTTCATCATATGTAGATTTACTGCTTTTGGGGGAAAATTTTATAAATTAATTTACTGCATTGGTATTGAATTTATAAATTTATATGTGTAAGAGATTAATAGAATTTTGGAAATTTGTTCGATGAAATTTGCGATTTTTTATTTGTCTTTTGTGGTTTTTGTAGGTGATCGTCGGATGAAGGCTAAAAATCTAAAGAAAACATGAATAAAGAATGGTGAGTGTTTATTTTTTAATTAGTTAGTAATATTCATTTAATTCATACTTACCTGTTAGTCGTCGGGGAAAAAACCGTGGGGGAAGATGTCGTGAATTAGTTCTGAAGTTGTTAGTAGTTTAGCTAATATGCGGATGATATTTTTAGTTTGAAGTAGTGGCCAAAGCAATTGAAGTGCCTTAATGGTGGTTAATTCTTCAGTGCCTACTGCAAACTCATAAGGTGTGTTTTGGATTAAGTTATATAATTTGTGGTTAAATGTAGTGTTATGGATGAATTCTAAAATGGGGATTTCTATAGGCTGTACAAACTCGTGCGGGATAAGGAAGGGTCGGGATTCTTCGGCGTTGAAGGTCTTGGTGATGGGACAGAAGATGTACATTTGGGTTATGGGGTCATAATTACGAAGAATACCATGAAGGTTAGTGTCTTTAATACAATATGTGAAATTTAGGAAATATGGTGAAGTGTATTTTGAATTGATGAATTGGAAACGATGGTGTGGTTGTCTAGAGGGTGTGTGGAGGTCAAAGTGATTTTGGATGAAACGATAGTAACTGTATGTATGTGTTTGTTTAGTTCGCAACATAATATCGTGTGAGCAGTGTAAATCTCTTTCGTGTGGTGCAAGGAAATGAAAGGTTAGTGAGAAGATTTGGAAGCGTTCTTTAAAACTTTCGTATGCTTGTGTGCTTGTTAGTGCTTCTGAAATAATGTGATCAAACTTTCGGTCAAAGATGTTTAGTGTAAATACATATGGTGTCTTGATGAAAAATTTCTCGGTGATTTGTGGGTTAGCGAAGCGATCGTCGTCTAAGAATTGATCTTGGTTAGCTCTTATGATGTTGTGATCGTAGTATTCTAGTGTATATTCATTAGCTCTAGGTGCAGTGTGTATTTTTAGTGATTTTTTATATCCAACGTAAGTAAATTGTCTAGCGGTGAGTGGTGTAGTTAGTCGATATAGCATGTCTTTGTTTCGGTCTATATCAATGGATGTGTTAGTTAAAGGTAAGCAAAGAGGGTTTGTGAAATGATAGTATGAGGTCCAAGAGAGAGTGGGCATTAAAACGTATTCGTCTACAAAGTTGCGTGTTTCGTTAGCGTCATGAGGGGTGTTTAAGGTGTATTGTGGAAATGAGGGTAAAGTGATGGCTAAAAATTCTCTAGTGTTAGTATGTTGGGGGTGGTTGATGTATTCTCGGGCTGTTCCTGGTTTTGCTGGGAAAGGATGGTTGGGGAACTTTCTTTTAAAAGTGCGATAAGCTCTATTAGTGTTGAGTGAGGATTCAGTTGATGTGGATGATGGTGCTAATGATTCGGTATAATTTGAAGAGGGTGTAGGAGGATTGGTTGAATTTGTAGTGGAGGAGATTTGGTTTATGGTCGGGGTGTTAAGGTGGTAGGGTTGTTGTTGGAGGGTAATAAAATTGTCTAGCTCTGGTGAGATTCGGGGGGTATCTGGAGATGATTGGTCAGAGTGGTATGAGGAGTAGGTTGGGGTAACTTGGGAAGCATAAGAGGGTGTAGGAGTGATTGGGTCAGGGTTATTTGATAATATGGGTTGAAAAGGAGGTTGAGAAAAATGAGAAGGGTTATGAAAATTATTGGATGGAGATGGTTCTGAGTCGGCAAATTCGTCGGGGGTTTCAATATTCGGGTTATTTAGCTGTGAAATGGAGTATAAAACTGAAATTTGTGAGTTAGTGTCGGAATTCATGCCTGATGTTACATTGCTAGATGGAAAATCGGGTGGCGGAAAAGCAAAAAGTGGGATTATTGGGATTGAAGAGGTAAGGTTGGTTGGATGGGAATTTGATCGATGGAGTGATCCAAGTTGGCGGCTCATCGTGGGCTAAAAAAATTATTATTTTGAGATTGAAAAGCGGTGGTATGGGGCTGTTCAATAATTTGTTCATAAGTATTATCATCTTGTGATGGATGTGTCATTATATGTTGGACGGGACTTTGTGATGTGGTGAGTCGAAAATTTGGATTATGTGTGATTGCTAAATTTCTAAAATTTCGCGGGGCTAGGGATAGTGGATGGTTATTTGGTAGGGGTGGTAATTGTGGTGCCGTTGGCTGTGTGTCGACATTGTTATGTTCTTCGTCGTATGTATTTTGTCGTGTTGTTATTTTTGTGTTATATTCTTTTATTTGTGCGTCTAAAAGAATTTTGTTTATAGATGTGGAAAAGATTCCAAAAAATCCTGCAAAGAGTATGCGTGCTACGCTTGCTTGTCTGTTTACTTGTGTGTGTATAGCACATGTATTGTAGATTCCTTTTAAGAGTGAGAAAAGAAATCCAATAAAGTTAAACATTGCGTATAAAATAGTCAATTTTTCTAAGATGTAGTAGGGCCATCCTAGAAAATCTAGGATCTCATTTTTGAGTGTAACAAAGCTAAAAATGTTAATTGGTGATATATCTTGGGGACGGTATTTTTCGCCGTTTAGATATATATAATCTTTTATGTCTTTAAAATATCCGCTATAGTCTTGCGTGTAGATATCGGCAAATCCTGCGGTTTCTGCAAGTTTGCGTAAGTTTTGGTCAATTGATTGTCTTTGTATAGTGTCCATTTGTGTTAATAATTCTTGGAATTGTTGTGTTCTAATGTGATGTTGAATATCTGATTTTGAATAGATTCCTATTGATTGTAAGTCTATATTTGGGTTTCGAGCGATAGCGCGAATGCTTTCTGGTGAAAATTTTTTGAGTGATTGCATTAATGTGGGGTATGGGGTGAGAAGATAATATTTATTTTCATCAGGGTTTAGTTGTACTACATTGTGGCTATTTTCTGATCCACATGGGACTGCGGTATCCCAGAAATAGGTTCTTCGTGAAAGTGTATCCACGAAATGTACTTTATTCTTATAAAAGATAGGGATTCTTTTATAACATCGTTTATCTTCAAAAACGTATAGTGGTGATACTTTTTTAGTACAAGTATAAAACCATAAGATGTTTCCTTCATAGTCTAAAAAATTTGATCTATTTCCTGATAATAAATATCCTGCGTAGGGTATTTTTAATACTGCTAGTGCAAGTGATTGTAATATTTGTGTTCGT